GAACCTCTAAACGTCAACATCTGTTAAAAACTCGATTTTCGAAATATTTCAATTTTCTTAGCGGGAAGTTAAAAAGAAGAATAGTAAAAATATGAAAAAAAATAAAATAATGAAACATAAAATTTATTTTAATTCGTCCAGCAAAGCGGGCGCGAAACGGCTAGTATATACATATAAGAGAGTGAAACTCAAATGTGTTGCAAAAATATTTATTTTAAGAAATAACATTTAGAGTTTGCTATTTCAGATGAAAATCACTTTTACCCTATTTCTTTTATAATCAATCCAAAATGAACTCACAACAAAAACTTCGTAATCAAATTAAAATGACTAACACACATGAACATAGACAAACAAAACTAGCGTATTTTCCACAGACTAACAAACAAAATTAAATGAACATCTGTAAAAACAAAATAGACAATTAATAATATAATTATTTCTTTACATATACGTTATTACAACGAAATTAAAACATTTTACATTATTTAAATTAAATAGTTTGAATAATAAATTTGTAGCGTTTGTGTAGTATTTTCTATAATATTTTGAAGTATGTGGCAACATAAATACCGGTCGTTAAGAAAATAGGAAAACGAACGTCACACAGACAGACTTTAGACGAGTGAGATATGTATTTTTTTCCATGAGCTTTTCTATAAGAATATAAATTAATTACTCTTGTTTTGTGAAGAATAAACCAATTAACAAAGTTAAATATGGGTTGTGATTTATTATAGGATAGAACATTCCCATAAATTCAAATTCAGTTTGCTTATTCGCGCAGATTCGCAGTTGTCGATGGAACAATTATTGTCAATTTGTCAATTACACTACCGGTACAATACCGGTTCATAAGAGTGGCTCGCGGTTCACCATTGAAAACTATCACCCAATATCGATACTTAACATTTTTAGTAAAGTCTTCGAATTGGTAATTTGAAAAGCCATCTATATAATAATAAATAATTCACACAATGGTGTTATTAATAACGAACTATGTACCTACTATAAAGTATGGAAAGTGGATCACAGGTTTTTCATCAGGTGAGCCTCCCACCTGCTCCCTTTTATATTAAAATATGATGTTTGATGATTTTTCAAAATAAAATATAAATAAGTGTGACGGTTGGTACTAAAGCATAATATGATTGAATGTTTTCTTTCAGAAAAGTAATATTTTGATGCAACCAACGCCAACTCATATTATATGTTAAATATAATAATAAATGGCGATAAAGATAAAATTTAGCTTTTCCTCTTTACCTGTTTACCCATGCGAAAGAAATTTTATTCAATTGGGAACGATTGCCGTTGGGCACTTTTATAATATGCACGTAGTACCACCACCACTACTACACCTACGTGTAGTTTTATTTTTTATTTTAAAAATGAATCAAAGCACATATCGAACTGCTCTCTGTAAGCGAGTCAGTGAGTAGTTCCTATTACAATCTTCAAAAGGGTAATTACATAGGCTGCACTAAAAGTATCGGGAATGGAATAATACCTAAATGCATTCCCCACATCACTCCTTGCCAGCACGCTTTTCTTCCACGCAGATCAGTTAATTCTAATCTATTGACTTTGGCTGACATAGTATCGCGTGAAATTGATAGGCGGTGTCAGGTGGATGTAGTATATTTGGATTTTCACAAAGCGTTTGATCGAGTAGACAACGACATTCTTCTCCAAAAGTTGGCCGCAATTGGGTGTGGACCTATTCTGCTTAAGTTTTTCTCTAGTTACCTATCAAATCGTAACCAATATGTTAAATATGGACAATATATCTCGCAGCCTTATCCAACAATTTATGGTATTAGCCAGGGTTCAAACCTGGGACCGTTGCTATTTTTAATAATGATTAACGACCTTCCAAGCGTTATCAAATATTCCAAAATACTATTATTTGCTGACGACGTTAAGGTCTTTAAAATAGTTGAGACTGACAATGATCGTCTGTGTATGCAACAACGATTTGGATGAACTGCTGCATTGGAGTGAATTAAATAAACTCCAATTCAACTATGACAAATGTGAAGTGATGACCTTTAGTGCCTCTCCGAATAAAATACTCTGCGACTATAGCATAGGATCGAAAGTTATTAGGCGCGTAGACAGAGTCCGCGACTTGGGTGTCCTGTTTGTACCCGATCTTTCATTTGCGGAGCATAATCGGACGATTACGGATGCTGCTTTTAGGAGATTAGGGTTTGTCCTGCGAAATTCGGCTGGTCTGACGGACACTGCCACTAGGGTGCTATATTCATCATTAGTAAGGCCAATTCTCGAAACCAGCTGCGTCATATGGTCCCCTTATGAAAGGTATTATGGGGATATGATTGAATGAGTTCAAAAGAAGTTCCTGAGAAATCTGTATAAAAGAAGATACAATTTCTTTCCTTACCTCTACCCTACTAAGTTCTTGATGGGGGTGTTAGGGTATAATTCATTAGAGCTTCGTAGGGATTTTTCGGTGGTCAGGTTTGGTTTGAGTGTAATTAAGAATGAAACGGAAAGCGCATACTTGCTGGGAGAGATCATGAGGCTATACGTCCCGGACAAATATTGCCGCTGCCGGAAACATAACCTTTTCGCTGTGCGTTCGGCTCGCACTGTCCAGCGACAACAAGCGCCCATTCCCCGGCTACTCTCACTGCTTAATGGGTTTCTCGACTCTTCACCGGAGAGCGACCTGTTTGGGAAGCTTATGGGGGTGGTATACTGGGCTTTCAGAGTGTACCTGGAGGGGATAAGAGGGTAATGCTACCCTGTATTGTAAATCTTAATTGTATTTTGTTGTATTGTTTATTGTTTTTAGTCTAAGTTTGGCAATTGTGCTGTTATTAAATAAATAAATAAATAAATAACCACTGTTCCTGTCATATTCTTTATCTTAGTTAAATCTTTTTAATTGAAAACTCCATTTTTTTTTAAATCGAATACCATTTATTTTTTTTTAAAAAGATTCTCGGTCTTTTCACAAAGTTTAGTCAAACTTGTTTAGTCGTTGAGAAAATGGAATTGACTCGAGAAAATTCAAGAGCGATGATTTATTATGACTTTTGAAGTGGATTATCACAAAAACAGTGTGTTGACCGGATGATTTCTGCATTTGGTGATGAAGCCCCATCCAAAACCACAATTTATCGCTGGTTTGCTGAATTTCAACGTGGACGTGTCAAGCTCAGTGATGATCCCTGTCGAGGTCGTCCAAAAACTGCAGTCACCCAAGAAAACGTTGATTCTGTGCGTAAGCTGATTGAGGAAGATCGACATGTAACATACCGCGAAATTCAGGCAACTTTAGACATTGGCATGAGTCAAATACAAGTAATCTTGCATGAACAATTAGGTGTAAAAAAGTTGTTTTCACGATGGATACCGCATTCGTGAAGTGGGCCGCTTTTTGTCAAGAGCAAAGCGTCAGAACTCTCGAAAGATTCCACGCAGGATCCTCAAATGCTGTATACAACATCGTATCAGGTGACAAATCCTGGATATACGCATACGAAACCGAAACAAAAAACCAGTCACGAGTTTGGGTGTTCGAAAATGAGTTAAAGCCGACGAAAATTGTTCGTTCACGGAGTGTTACAAAAAAAAAATGGTGGCCACGTTTGTCTCCAAAACCGGCCATGTTGCGCCTATCCATTTTGAGGGACAAAGAACGGTTAATGCAGAACGGTATGCTAGCATTTGTTTGCCACAGGTCGTTTCTGAACTCCGTAAAGAGAACTGCAACCGCCGCATCATCCTCCATCACGACAATGCGAGTCAATGCGACACCGCGCACAGAACAAAAGAGTTTTTAGAGCAAGAAAACATATAATTATTAGACCATCCGCCGTACAGACCCGACCTAAGCCCTAATGATTTCTATACTTTCCCTAAAATAAAGAATAAATTGCGTGGTCAGAGATTTTCATCACCTGAAGAAGCTGTGGACGCCTACAAAACGGCCATTTTGGAGACCCCAACTTCCAAATGGAATGGTTGCTTCAATTATTGGTTCCATCGTATGAAAAATGTGTCAAATTTCGCGGAGAATACTTCAAAAATCAATAAATACAATTTTAAATAGTAACGTTGTGTCACTTCCTTGATTCCCGAAATTTTCAGTGCCGGCCTCGTAATTACCGCTGAACCTTAATTTCAGATAAATTATTTAAGTGAAAATATGTAAGGACAGGCCATATAAGATGAGCAGGATTTAATTCGGAAGGTACGTCTCGCCATGCTGAAGTTATTTATTTAATCTCGCTGCTGCAAATTCTGGCCAAATTATTTGAATGTTAGTGACCGAAGTCACACCATTGTACTGTCGGCGTAGGTGAACTGATTGATGATTGACTCTAAGACCCATTTTGAAAAGTTTCCGGCAAGTCGCAGCTACTTTCGATTTACTGCACAATAATCTTACAGTACGAGATTGTTGTTGCTAACTGTTCTCACATAAATATTTGCTCCATAACTTATTTGCAATGCGTCGCCAAGATAGTGTAATTCTTTGAACTGGGCCGAATCCCCTTTTACTATTTTCGAAATATTTAAATGTTTAAGATACTTTCAAATTTCAATCATCTACAAATTTTATCCATTCCACTTTTATCGTCTCACTAATAGGCACATTCTTACCAATCCTTTGCTGCCTATAGACCTTGCAACATAATTTTTAAATATTAGTGACTGGGCTTAAGAGTCGTAACGTTTCGATCTAAGCAAGAGTCAGCATAGTCTAATAATGGCGGAAGGATTGATCAAGCCTGTGAGGCTTAGTGCTAATGGAATGAAATTTACTAAGACGTCGACAGATAGGCTGTTGCTGCTGTTCCCATGTTAGCTTATGTATGATACGTAGTAGTATATATCATTTAACCTTTTTCACGGAAAGAACAGACTGGCTGTTCAAAAATTTTCTTAATCTTACAAAATAAGTAGATTGATTAAATTTATATGTTTTTATTGATATAAAAAAAAAATTCAAGTAAGTATTTTTATTACAAACGAGCGCTAATCCAAGAGTTGAAAGAGGTAACCCTAGCGAAACCAGCAGGGAATCCTCGTTGACAACCGGCGGCAGCACCGAAAGATGTAATACCAATCTGTTAGAAGAAAACAGCAATTAACACAATTAATAAGAAAAATATGTATGTTTAATTAGTTTAAAATCGGCGACAGCAAAGCATACTACATAAGAACGTACCAGTTGGTTATTGACGACAAGAGGACCACCAGAGTCGCCTCCACAAGTGCTGCGGCCATTGCTTCCAGAGACACATATAGTGGAGGCAATGACTGGACCGGAACCGTAAACTGCAGCGCAGTCCGCATTGGAGATGATAGGAAGATTGACATGACTCAATCGCTGGCTGGTACTAATTCCTCCCGTCCAAGCTAAATTTTAGATATTCAGATCAGTCTTAAAAACGAAACATAGTAAGATCGTTTATATTTTTATCAGATTAATAAAATGGTTAACTTACAGTCGCCAGTCCTTCCGAAGCCACAGGCCTGTGCCTGTACTCCTACAAACGCGTTATTCCCGCTCGCGAGGCTAATAGGACTGATCACATCTGAAATTTTTCTTTATGTTGTAAGCAAAGCTTTCAGACTAGATATTTATTGTATTATTTTTATAAACGAAGCAACTAACAATGCGTTGGGATTCAAAACATCGAGCTGTGTAAGTCACGTTAGAAAATCTCAAAAGTTTTATATAAATTGATAATTTTACTTACTATTGGTGTTGACGTTGGGGAGGACAATGACAGCCACGTCGTTATGGAGAGTTTGCATGTTGTAGTTTTCGTGCATAAGAACGTTGCTAGAACTAATACGGTTACCACCGGAGAACAGCTGCAAAGAGCCAAGAACTACGAGAATTTGACGTCCTTGGTGGCCACTCGTACGCCAGCAGTGAGCAGCTGTCACAGCGCGATTTCTAGTAACGAGAGAAGATCCACAAACGGACTGTCCACCAGTGGTCAAAGTGACAAGTAGGCCGCCCTGGTTTAAAAATAAATCAGAATTAGAAGTTATTTCTTTGTACCATTTTATTATAGTTAATCAACGACTCTTACAAAGTATGGAAACTGTCCAAGGTTGGCCAGGGATCCTCCAGCTATTCTGGAGCCATCGAAGTCAGAGGCAGCCTCAGCGGCCTTGATGCGTGCGGCCTCGGGAATACCGATCTGCTCATGGTAGTCGGTAACGATCTCTTGGAACTGGGGCTGAGGTGCAGCTAAAGCCGCAGTGACTCCGAGGACTACCAGAAACAGCTTCATTGTTCTAATTTGCTGCTTTAAACTGTCATATTGCCTTATATACACATGGGATAGGCCAGATAATTAATTAATAGATAATAGTAGGAATTAATCTTATCAATCGTTACCTTCGTGTTAATGCATAATTACAGCGTTGTCTGCATTTTTTTTATGTTGATATTTTTTATAGGTATAGGTGTCTCAACAGACAGACTGAAAAAAAAATTAACTTCTATTGTACATTAACAATTTTACTACCAGTATGTAAGTCCAGATACGTATTTAAAGAAGATACCCACCGGCGCTTAGCTGCATTTGAGTTGTGGTGCTATCGTCATGCTTTGTAGAGGTTGGATCCAGAAGGTCTCTAACGAGAAGGTTCTTAAAGGAGTTGGAATGTGGAAAAAACTGATGCAGAACAAGAGAGAAAAAAGTTGTGTTGCGCCATGACCGCTACCACTCCCTTTATTTAATTATAATGGGTCCAGGGTAAACTGCGTGTTGTTAGAAAGACGAAATAATGGATGGCAACATTAGAGAGTGGACGGGTATTGCGACTTCGGAAGAGTTGCATCTGGCACAGGACAAGACACTCTTCAAGAGTCTGTAGGCTAACTGCCAGTAACGAAGAGGCACTAAAAGAAGATACGTACTTATTGAGTACGGTTTTTACTTGACCCGACTTTTCTTGCTCATACGTCCATTTTTATTGCCATAATGGAAACCTAATTATAAATTAAATTAATATTTAAGATCTTATCAAGAGTGGAAAAAAAAATCACTCTTTAAAAACCGTCAACTGTCGATGGTTATTGTTAATAATTAAAGATGTTTTATTTCTGTTATTGAAATAATGTTGGCAATCTTAGCTAGGTTATCAAATAAAAAACCCAGTCTTAAGTTAATCAACTGTATCAATTAAATACGAGTATTAACATAATTATGTATTTATCTAAATTCATATTTTTATAAAGATAATGGGTTTTTCCTATTAAGTTTCACGCGATTTATTAGTGTAGTATCTTATCACACCTATGATTTCTTGAGCGGTTAATTTTGTGCGGTGGCTATATGAGCTGTGGTCGAGAATCTTTTATTGACGTTTTAATAATTAATAAGTAACCATAATATCAGTCGTGTTATAATTTCGACTCCACTCAATATTACTTTGTTCTCATAGTTACTATAAAGTTAAGAGTGCGGGAACTTTACCGTATATTGCTCAACTTAAATATTCAAAGTTTACGAGAGCGAACTTCTGTGCAAAACAAGAAGTCATCATTTGTAATAATATATATTTTAACATCTACAAGAAATGTTTTTACAAGATGCATGTGGAGTCATGGCTTAACAAAATAACTAAAATTGTTACATGTAAAATGGATTAAGAAGTACGAATAATTTGTTTTAATTTAAGTAAAAAATCACTTTCAGTTTGTTTGAATTATACAATTTCCAGAAAAATCACGAGACTGTTATATTCGTTAAACTGCAGTTTTGAATGCGCAAGTGTCAAATAAATTTATTCTATCATTATTTTGTTATTTCTATGTAATATCTCAAACGTACGATACTCTCTTCTGCATATTTTTTCCTGGTTGTAACATATGATTTATATTATCATATACATTACACACACATAGATATTACTTGTAAGACGTTCACTAAAGGTGCCCTTTACCAACACCGTAATAATGCCAGCATTGTCAATTTGCGATGTAACACTTTTTTCGCCTATATTTAATGGTCAAGAAAAGACCACCGCGTCGCATAGTAAGTGTGCGTCCACACTGAATGCGCGGTGACTTGAGCCTGAGGCGGGCGCGGCGAGCGGGGGCGTGCGGTGGCCATAGTAACGCGCGAGCTCTTGTAGCGGTTTGAGGTATATCAGGTGTCGCAAACTATGGACGAGGATTTGCTTGTTTTACTAGACAGTCCAATCCTATTCATATGCCGATACCAACAGAACAACGCCTGAAAGCTATTGCAGAAGACTTTGAAGCTACCTGGAATTTCCCACACTGCATCGGAGCAATTGATGGGAAACATTGTGAAATAAAAAAACCACCTAAATCTGGATCAGCACATTGGTGCTATAAAAAAGAAATAGCATTGTCATGCAAGCTAAATATAGACTAAATTTGCTTATACTTATTTAGCTTATAATAATTTAATAATATAGATTAAATTTCGTAAATATAGACGCGCATAGGCCGAGCGACAAGACCGAACTGGTTTGTTACCCCCGCCACCCACGCATTAAGTCGCTCGCTGACTAGGCCCGTAGTGAGGCCAGAACGCGCGGACAGGAGCGTTTGAAAACTACGCGCGCTGTCTCGCTCAGTCCCGTCGCGCTCATTCACTCTTCGATCGACTGCCGACCTGTGCGGACGTCTGCTCCTGCGCCATCCTGCTGCCATCTCGCTCACTCGCTGTGAGTCATCGCCGCTTGCCGCTGTACAGTGCGCACGCGCTGTCCGACCGCTGCCCTTGCTGCCCGCTGCCCTCTCATTGGTCGCTTCGCGTCTTCGGTGATTGGACATCGCGTTTGAAGGCTGCAATTTATGAGCGCGGGTTTACCTGCGGCCGTCCGATAGCCACCTAACGGTGCCAAACGGTTATCGAACGGTTAACGCCTTGTGCGGGTGTTTTGTCCGGGGTGCATACACCGTGCCTTTTTCAAGGCGCGAATCAGCCCCTCCGCTTCCTCCAAGTCCTGTGCGCAGCCGGGCCTCTTAGTAGGCACTTATTAGGGAGTAGGCACGCCAACTACTCTCTTGAAACCGGCTTCAATCAGGTCCACTGTTGGACGGGTCCTGTCACATCCGCAGGGGCTCTATTTACCCAAACTCCTGCGGGCTGGTTAGGTCTGTGACAAACCTCACCTCCGCTATCACCAGCGGAGACACATATATATTAGGGCAAACCACAGCTTAGGTACTCACACGTCAGACGTAGGTACACACTCGCCGCCAAACTGTCTGGCTTCCCGCCTACAGGATGGCGTCCGAGGTTCAACCGCCCGATCTAAATAAAATATATTCATTTTTAAAAGAGCGTTTTCCTGACGCTATTAAAGCTTTTTACGAGTCAGAGTGCACTGACTCACCCCGTTCGCCGTCTCCGTCGCCGCGTAAGACGAGAAAAAATGCCTCCGCGAAGGCACCGCGCAAAAATAGCATTTTATCAACCGACCAATCCCGTGCTCGCTCGCGCTCGCGCTCACCACTCCCTGAAGTGAGAAGCGCAAGCGATGGGGAGACGGATTTAGCGCGTCCTTTGTCGGCAATGTCGGCCCAATCCGCTCCGGCGGAAACGGTTGACGAAGCCGTTTTATCTTCATCCTCGGAATCCGACGGATTCCAAACCGTCGGACGTAAGAAAAAGTGTTCGGCTAACGGCGGCCCACCCGCGAAAAGGCCTACTCAGCCGACAAACCCTCCGAAGAGGGATTTAAGTTCGTTGTTATCGGACAAATCGGACAAACCTGCGCCCTCCGCCCCCGCGGATCGCATCAAAACCCCTCCGCCCGTTTATGTTAGGGACAAGGGCGTATGGCCCACCCTTTCTAAGCTTCTCGACACTAAGTCGATTAGTTATAAAGCCCGAACTTTGAGGGATAACATTTGCATACAGGTGTCCACACCTGAGCACCACCGGTTCCTTACCTCTTACCTTCGTTCCGAAGGTATCGGAGGTCACACTTTCCCCTTGCCCGAGGAGCGCGTCCTTAGGGTAGTCATTAAAGGCATCCCGAAGGAAATAGACTCCGGGGTCGTCCAAGCAGATCTGACCGAGCAGGGATACCCCGTAAGGGATGTATTCCGTATGCTAAACCGCACCACCAAAGAAGAGTACGATATGGTACTTGTAGCCTTAGACCCTACTCCGAGTGGGAAAAAGATTTTTAACCTTCGGGAGTGCTGTAAGCTCTCGGGGTTGAGGGTTGAAACTCCCCTCAAACACTCTTTTACACGGCAGTGTCATCGCTGTCAACTCTACGGGCACGCAGCCCGAAACTGCTTTGCGAGGGCGCGGTGCGTCAAGTGTTTAGGCGACCATGGCACCTCGGACTGTAAACGGACACTCCCGTGCGCTGAGCCGCCGGCATGTGTGCTTTGCGGGCAACATGGGCACCCTGCGAATTATCGCGGTTGCCCTAGAGCCCCCAAGGCGCAAAAGCCGTCGGCTAGGCGCATGGTGGGACGCGATGCGGCCCGTCGTGGCATGGGAGCAAAGCCCACATACATACCGGCCCCGCCTCCCGAATTTAGTCCCTGGGCCAAGCCCCCCGCTACGGAGGGCCCTCCCCAACTCACGATAGAAGCCTTCCCGCCTCTGCCATCTAAATCGGCAACCGCAGCGCCTTCCCAGGTCCCTGCGCCAACCTCCATCCTTAAAGAGAGGCCCACATTAAATGCGAGCCCTCCCACTAAAGCCCTCAGCCCTCCCGTGAAGGCATCTGAGGAATCAGGCAACGTCCGCGACGCTTTTAATCTTGCGTTTAGCGTAATAGGCGCTATAGACTTAGACGCACTCGTCGCATTCGCGGAAGCATTTAAGTCCGCTAAAAGCGCGTCCACCAAGGTGGAGGTAATAACCGAGCACGCCCTGCTCCTTAAATCCGTGCGGCAATTCGTAGATTCTAACACACCGCAATAGCTACGACCACGTCTAGGGTCAAGGCTCGATCACTGTCCGTAGTGACTTTCAACGCAAACGGTTTCAAGCCACAGTCAGATTTAATTCGGGATTTTCTCGTTCGTCACCCAATTGATATTTTCCTAGTACAGGAAACGTTCCTAAAGCCCAGCGTTCGCACACCTAGATTCGCGAACTACGTCGCGGTGCGAAACGACCGACCTACGGCGAAAGGCGGTACGCTCATTTATTATAGACGTGCGCTCCACTGCTCACCGCTAGACTCGCCCTCCCTAACCAACATAGAGTGCTCTGTGTTACGCGTGGCTATGACCGGTCATCAGCCGATTATCATCGCATCGGTGTACCTCCCTCCCACT